CAATAAGCAGAAACACGTGCAAATAGTAGTAACAATTGCTGAGAATCATAATTACTAATATTGATAGGCTAGTAGTCGTATTATGAGTCATCGACAGAACTGTCGTAGTGGCACCGGTAGTAGCAGTAGTAGGAATAGTAATACTGAGAATGAGGATAAGGGTGTTTGAGAACATTTGCCCAAGCCCGGGTAGTGGTTAGCTCAGGTTCTAGATTTATCACGATTTCATGAGAGGGGCTTGTCATCAAGTCCGAAGCAAGCATCCGAGAAGAAGTCTGAGAGCAATGCTCCTAAAGCAACCCCGGTACACTTTACATTGAACGTCCTGGTGCGGAGAAGCTTGTGCGTGGGAGTTCAATGTGGACGTTCCGCGAACCCCTGCCAGACGTACGACACCAGGCTTGGCAATGTGCCCGGATGCCCAGGCATTGCATTTTGGGCTCCAGTTCGTGACCTATTGATCGGGCTGAATGTTTGTTTGCCATTTTTCTTCGCCACGTCCCTTCGTCGCCCTTTTCAGTTGCGACTTCAAGCCCAAGGTTTGCGCAAAGGTCGTGGGACGGAGGGGCCTGACACCATGTCAGGCGTAGATCGCATCAAGCATAGAAGAAGAAGAAGGCTCAGGGTGAAGGCGAAGGGCTGCAGCCAACAGAAGGTATTAGGTGAAGGCGTTTTGCAATTATTGGCTGTGCAGGTAGATAGCGGCCTCTATGTAGACAGACGAGAGTTGGAGGATATAGATATAAACATAACTATATGGAAAGGTATAGGTATGTGTATATAGGTACATACAGAGATAGATGTAGCCATAGATACACAGCCATTTTTGCCACTTTTTCCATTTCCAGGCATTGAGTCGAAGCCTGATGCAGCCATCGGCATGCAGTAATGAAAGGGTGAAACGGTGCAGGCAACAGCTATAGTCATATAAGCACCCACATAGCCGACATAGCCCAAAGGTCCTTTCGAAACGCCGGCATTCCGATGGTCGTTCATACTGTACAAAACATGTCAATAACATCCCATCCTGCAGCCGGCGCACGTGTGCCACTGCTGCGCGTGAGGTTGCTGCTGGCAACGCATGATGCCTTCTTCGGTGATCGGTATAGCCTGCTAACGCCCAACTATGGTGGTCCGAGCCCCAGCGCATACGGCTTTTCGATATGACCTGTTCTCCAGTAGATGCGCGACCCATAGCGTGACGAAACTAGAACGTCTTTTCCCGAATAGCGTCGTGGTGACTGAGTGGCTCTGCAGTCGTGCTGCTTTTCTCCTCATGCCACGAGGGTTCTTCCCTGTAGCAAGACTGGGAGAGTTCACAGTTGTGGTAGCTTCCCAAGCCTAGGTTTCAACGACGGTGTAGACAGGATGCTTAGGTAGAAAGTCCCCAGCCTGAATGCTCAAAGCCTTCACCTGAGCCCGGAAGATACTTCTCGCTGAGGTGGTGCATATCGGAATTTGAGGCAACGGCAAAACGGCATTTGCATCATCATCTTGTGCCTGATCATTGTCAAGGCTAGAAATCTGGCCGGGAATTGTGTTCTTTGGTACCCGACCGCCGCCTCGAGAGACAGTCGTGAGTCACGTGTGGAGGAACATTGTGGTTCCGCTTCCCTTCTCGCTGAATTGTCCACACCTCAGAGCTGAAAACGGACTCTCGCCGTGGATGGGCCAAGGGTGGCCAATCTAGAGGTGCTGTTCGACAGTTTGAGTTTTTACTTGCAGAGATCAGGGCCTGGTGTCTTGAAGCAAGGGCCTTGAAACCCAGCTTTTGGCTGAAGTTTCTTCCTTGACAGTTGTAGCAATTGCAGGCACCTTTTGGCGCTCGGCGGTGGGACAAAGGCACGGTTCTCAGGCATATGGCTTCGGGTTTAGTGACTGTTCAAACTTAGAGTCTCGAGTCATGACTGCCGCGATCGGCAGGCAATCCTTCACGCGGCGGTTCCGAGTAAGCTTTGCTGGCTCCCAGAACGGCGTGCGGGTCTTAAGGTTTCTTTGCGCAGTCCCTCAACGAGTGATGGCAAATGCGGGATGCAGGAAGTTGCCTTCCCTTATTTCGGGCCCACAGTATGGATCCCTATTTTGCGAGGTTTATCATGACACATTTATTGGGACCGTCTGTCTGGGTGTGAGTCAGCGTTGAAGATTTCGGGTTGAGGGTTGAGTCGTAAATGAGAGGTCTTGTGCGTACTGATGGCTGTAAGCTTGACTAACTCTTATGCACTACGTACTGTATGAGCACCTTGCAGACAGATCGAGCTTGTTCAATGCGATCCTCGATGTGTTTTCTGGCTGTTGATCTTGTCTGCCTGACAATGGTGTCATAACAGCGCATGGGCTCACTTGCCGCAGAAGGACACGCGTGCGTTGATACACCGAGCTGCTTCATCAGTGGCGTCAAGCCCGGATCCCAGATCGTTCAGCCGGGGATATGCTAGCTAGGGCTTGTGGCCTCACCCAGCTTGGATTTACAGCCATCGGTGTTCTCCTTCTCAACAATCCCAAATCTGGCTGCCTCCCTAAGAAAGGCTCAGCGTGCCGACCCCCAAAAGAAGCCAAGGCATGATCCCGGAGCAACGGCCGTCCCTGGCAGTCCGTTTCGTTGTCTCGGATGAGGAGGGGCTTGCACGACCATGCGTTTTCAGCCGTAGTTTGAAGGCCGACCATGCTTCCCCTTTCTTTCGTCATTCGCTTCAAGTAACTGCTTGGGCCGCTTGGAAACTTGATAACCCTAAACCCTAAAATCTGTCTGGTACTAGAAGCTGATCCGTTGCCCGCTCCCGCAGGAGAGAGCGGAGTTGTCTCGTGTCTGGAACTCGCTGGGCTGTTTCTCGTACGTAGCATGATGCTGTACATGATGCTTCTCATATGTTCTCACGTAAGTTCTTATGTGGCAGTGCATGTCGTGGTACTCAAGCTATCGCTATTTTTGTTATTAAGCTTGTTTTTATTTGTATGATTTATTATTACTACTGTTGTTATTGCTATTCGTACTATTATTACTACTATTATTATT